AAAAACAAATGCGTTGTAAGTTTTTTTACAGTACGGTATAGCTTATTGTGGAACAGGCTGCCAATGCCTATCCGTAACTGTGATACGTTTACCAGATTCAAAAAGCTAATAACTCTATTTCTAGACTCCAAAGAGCTTCAACATTTCCTTGAACTCCCGCCCACCAATGAGGCACTTTATTACGGACCGCCCAGTATCTAGAAAGAACAAAATTATAACAAGTTCGACTGTTACTAATACGAATATAACCAAACCACAGAATATATGGCTTATCCTTTCCTATTATTCATTGTTTATTGATCATAACCTCATGTTCCTAACCCTAGCTTTCAGTTCCCAAATCTCTACAGGTTAAATTAGACAGATAGCTCAATCTTATGGATGCTGATCTACTAAGGCCGATCATACAAAGCTCAAAATTTGGCCACAAAGTCTTGTGAGTTTCTCAATGTTTTATTTGTCTTACCCTGAAATCTTTTTCTTTTCTTTCTACAGTTTTATACCCTCTCATATCTTTTGATTTGCTATTAGTCCTTACTTCTTTAAACCATTAGTTATTTTCATAGCAGTGTGATATACTATATGGACATCTAACCCAAAAAAAGACTTTCCAACTATCTGATTTGCTTGTAACATGGACCTAGTAGAGACAGTGTATTCCAACTATGGGCTTTGATTAAAGCAGTATTCATACTTACCATAAACGTAAGAGAGCCTAACATCACAAAAGGAGGGAGGGTGGTGTTACTGACCAGCAAACATGATGGTGGGGAGATAAATTCAATTCACCCATGTCTGTAGGGCGGAACATTTTGTTTAATTACGGCTCCTTATGGTTTAGTGGGATGTCACGAACTTATGGTATTGAAGCTGATTTATCACGCAAAATACCTCTTTAAATCGTGTTACGAACGTTGAATTGGTTTCACTTCCTACCCAGTAATCCTATTACAAGCAAACTAGACAATTCGCTAATATATGAAGCCTACTCAAGACCCTATGATACCTGAAAAAAAGTAATAATACAAAATAAATGAAAAGGGCTCCAATTGCTTCGATAAAAAAGATAGCCAATTGTATATCACAATAGTGTTTCTAGCACCATATTTTACTTTATAACCACACATAATCCCATACTCTCAGCTCCTTTCCGAATTGCCTCCATTTGTCAGCTGTATGTCCACTCACACCTTGTTAACACTTATTTTCTTTAACCTATTAAATGCTCTTTCTTAACAAATACCTTAATAAAAGAAAATTAGAATGAGTAATCATACCTTAAACATTCATTCATGAATATTGACTACTCTGCCCCTCGTGTTTTCTTTTACTTGCTCCCTCTTTCAGCCCCTTGTGATATGGAACGAAAGATTTTATCCTGCACCATCCTCAAAGCCTTAGACATTCCAAAGGGACATAAGGTTGTGACTTTTAGAAGCTCCCACCTTCAATGGACCTATCCTTGACCATCAGTTGCACATTCGCAACGCAACTTTCGTGAAGCGCGCCAACTGTGATACTGATTAAAACCATCTACATTCATATCTTATAAATTATCAACACAGCTGTGTAATTTACTACAGTGGATATTGTATCATTTGTATCAATTTGATCTTGCCTGTAAACTGGCATGCCTTGTGTAACAAACTGTTATTTGAGAATAAATTATTATTATTACCGTAAGTTCAATGTTATGAATAATTTCCCTTAGAATTTGCGTTTCTTACTAGGTATGTAGAATCAATGTAGATAATATAGTAACCTTACATGTAACGTACTGTGCTACATCCTCACGGTTATTGATTCGGAAATGTCAGAAATAAAAAAAGAATGGTGCCAATAAAACTGAGTTATACGATTTCATCAAAAAGCATACTGCAGGAAAAGTGCTTAACCTTAGTGGCATTGGACAATAGCCACACAATCCACAAAGCTGTGGACACGAGACTACTCAGAAAATACATATTCAATATTTAACACGGAGAAATACCTAACAATCGAGAAGGCGCAAACAATAAATTGAATGGACCGGAGTTGATCGAGTGGCATGGCCCGACCATGCAGGCGTGGTCTCTGCTGAATGTTATCTTATATCTCCTATTCATATTAAATATATTGTTCTTTCTCTAGCCTAACCTTGTTCTACATCATGTATTGGTAATTGATACGATACAGTGAGTTGGCGTTGTCGATGGTGTGACTTCCACGTAAGATCTTATAGATTAGGCAGTTATATCATGACAAATCTAAAAACTTAGGATTAGGTCTATTATTAGAGCAGCACTAATATCATAATAGACATTGACTCTACAAACGTATTGCATAATTTTTCTAAACATGAAAACCCTAATAAGTACTTGACCATGGTATGATCCAAAATATTTTTCCCAAAACCATTTATTAATTGATCGTATCAAGCTACTAAACATATCTTCAACCAAAAACGTTCATATAGTATATATACAACCAGTCCAAGTGAAAAAAATATATTTATAAGAAGTACTACAAACGTAGTAAATTAACCAGGAAAATTAATAAAACTCGTCGTTATTGAGAGTGTTAGTTGTGTGGGGTCATATTATATGCTCACAGAGGATTTGTTCGATGTTTCATTCCAACTTTTTTAAATTGTCGACCATCAGTGATAAAATCTAAGTTGTTTAATTCAACAGGCGAAGCTTGTTCACATCACTCATTTTAGCTGACGATTCTTCGTCCTCTGATGTGACTTAACCTTTTTTACGTTTTCGAATAATATCACTCGTCAACTGTTTAGGAATATTTTGTAGATTATCCGGTGTGTCTGAAGAAATGAATTGATATTCACTTTTATAAACTATATTTATTCAACATGCATACAATGAAATAATAAACGTTGTAATTTATAAATCATTCCTGTAAAAATAGTGTGTACTTACCATTGCAGAAGTATGTTATTATTACCATTATTTTACTAGTAATCTAGACTCCTAATTTCTACTGTGTTCAGACGGATTTATAAGCTTGGGAGGCATGCTTTTATCGGCGAACATATTATCACTTTGAAAGAACTTTGATAAAGCTTACGACTAAATCAATAAGAATATCATAGCTCTTACTACTAACAAACGCAGAATACTAATGGTGAACAGAAGTGATTTTATTTCCAACCAAACATTCTGAGTGATTTTAGTACCACACCTTTTGCCATTGAAAGGGGACATGGCATCATCTTCTGTGATGCTTCAGCTTTTTCTTCCTGTTAGCGTTGTATGTGCAACAAAGTTCATCTTGTAGGGCCAGCGAAATGTCACTAAGCCCTAGCTGGTTCGTCACACCATTCCCGTCTCCAATCATTTTCAACATAGATCATCTACGTTGGTGATCTGCAATCCACTCACAGAGATTTCTTTCCAGAATGGGAGATAGCTATTTAAAATAGCCTTTAGTGTTTATTTTAGAACTGAACTGAAAAATATTTCGGGTCATATCGCCTCATCTTAAAAAGGATATAGTTCTCTGGGAACACATTTAGGTATGGGAAACTGGAAAGATGCATGGACTACGAATCGAATCCAATCCATAGAGTCTAGATTATCAACATGTACAATGCAGTGGATGATAGAGATATTATCTTGATATATAATATCAATAATAGTCCTCCACACTGCAACAGATAACTAATAAGTTTTAATATCGAATATGTAATTAGTATAGGACGCGAACTTCTTCGTGGTTAGAACCACTAACTTGTGGAGCTCCTTACTATAAAAAGCACTTTCTCGAAAGTCCTGCAAAAAACGGGTTCAACGTTGATAGTGGGGACGAATACTCTAAACGCAGTATTTTTGCTTGTGTCTAAATATCTTAAGCATACCTTACATCTATATTTCATGTTTAAGTGTCGACATTTCAGTGACCTTGTCTCTAGTTGGTGTCAAGGAAAGTGATGAAATATAGACTGGCAAGTAACCTTGTGCACATTCGTCGACTTCACCACGTTAGTGAGTGGCGAAATAAACTAAGCCAAATATGTCCATGCTTTGGAAATCTATGCTTACGCCTCGGTTAAAACAGACGAATAAGAAGAGACGAAAATTGTAGGAAGCAAACGTGCCTACAAGTAAGACTACTCGATGGAAGCGTTAATATAATCCGGCATACACAAAAAGACATGAATTCGACAAAATAGTAGGTGTAATTTGCAGACGAGAACAAATAGGAAGTGTAAGTATAGAGCTAACAAGGACATGAGTGATAGAAGTCCATGTGTAGAAGGTAACAGTTGTTTATGTAGAGAATGGAGCTACAGGGAAAACGACGACACCATTATAGTCAAGATCTGTTTGAATTACTCAGATGTGTACAGGGTATAACATAAGATCACACAGAAGTTATAACAAAAGGCTAAACTAAACGTATTCCCATTATCATATCGAAGAACTAGAGGTGACCTGATTACAGTTTTTAAATTACTTGTGGTAGACTTACACTTGGTTTGTCCTCACTCTTCTTGTCTTCCGAAACAGAGGATTTACGAGAACACTCCAAAAAGGTTCACAAACCCAGAACAAATTACATGTCAGCTGACTATCGACTTTCCCATCGAATGATCAACGAGTGGAATTCATTACCTTAACAGATGGTTGAATCTCTAACTTTCGACTCTTTAAAAATAAAGTTGGATCGACTGGGAGACCATCAACAACAGGACTAACACAAGCCATCCAGCCTCCTGTCCTTTCCAGAGTGGAATTGAATAACGCCATCGGTATACAACTAGTTGACCCAAATATCGTATGCGATACTGGGTAGAAAACTATTCGCCAACCGAAAAATGTATGGATTATGAGAAAATAATCTTACCACCCAGACTCGGATCTCAAGGAACAATTATTTCGTTATTTATGCTTTACAAAGTTCGAAGTTTGTTCAATAAACTGGTCCGCCCGTTTCAAGTTTGGCCTTGGCGCCATTTAGTCTATTGTCTCCAAATCACTCGTCATATGAAATGAGATAGAATGAGTCGTAAGAGTTAATCAAACGTCTTAATAGAATTTTATTAGAGAAAGACGCGAACAAAGTGGTGACGGTTGTTGCCTACTTGTGTCAAGGTGACAAGTCAAAGGAAATATCGTACACGGATGCCAAAGTCATAGGGAACGGATCATTTGGCGTTGTGTATCAAGCCAGACTCCTGGAAACTGATGAAATAGTCGCTGTAAAAAAGGTTCTTCAGGACAGGAGGTTCAAGGTGATCATTTCTTCAGTCTTGTATCCCCCTTTATTTCGTGGATAGTTTTTTTCATTCATGTTATGTTATGTAAAACTATTTTTTTTAGTAGATGATAAGTATGTGTTCAAACAATCTACACAAACTCATCAACACTCATCACACATCGCCAGCAGCCAGCATATATAGTCTTCAATATGCCAGTTATGTTGTCCTTCCCTAGTATATTTATGTGCGAATACGACCACCGAAAATAAGTCATTTAAATAAGTAGAGACCACTTCCAGGAGTTCGTCCAGATGGATTGAGTCCAAAGGTATTCAAGGATCGTGGTCCAGTTTTAGCGGTTAGGTTGACTAATAGTTTAGCTAAAATAAAGGAGTTGGATGTAATCCCATGTGACTGGTTGCAATCATTGATTGTCCCATTATATAAGGAGGGGTCAAAATCATCCAATGATAACCATAGAGGGATTAGTTTAACTAGTATAACATCTAAAATACTAGCCTCAATTGTTGTCGGACGCTTAACAAAGACTCGTGAATGCAAACACGAGGGAATCAGGCTGAGTTTAGACGTGCTCCTGGCTGCATCGACCACATATTCGACATTCGTCAGATCTTAGAACACAGACATGCTTAACGGCACCCGATAACGGTGGTCTTTCTTGACCTAAAAGCAGCATTTGACTCCGTAGAACGAGGAATTCTGTGTCAGTGTCTGTCATTGAAAGGCGTACCTCAGAAGTACACAAGCCGTGTGAAGGCTCTTTACTCGAACACTACTAGTCGAAGATGATTGGAAGAAAGTTAGGGGCGAACAAACCAAAACATGGCAACAGTCCTTGAAGTCACTAGCTTCTGGTCTGAGCCATATTGTTAGATGCAAACTACTTGGTTGGGATCCGTGCGACTATCTTATTAAGTGGTTGGAGACTGTGGATGACATGGCTCAGAATCGATCACAGTGGTGCCGGCGTATACACTGTCTTCCTCTAAGCAGTGAGATTAAAATTAATTAACACATTTTCTACGAACTGATTTTTCCCTTTGTATGATATTTTTATATGAAATCATTGTTTACTACCATAGAAATGACTACTTTTATGAATTTGGTGTTCATTTTGTTATGCTTATGTGGTACGGCAACCTGACTTAATTACTTACGTCTGTTACTCCTCGTGAAGGAGCATAGGCCACTCACCAGCATTCGCCATCCAACCCTGTCCTGGACAATCCTTTCCAGCTCCTTCCAGTTGTTATTAATCCTTTCCAGATCTGCTTTTATTTCCCGACGCAATGTGTTCTTTGGACTTCCTCGTTTCCGCTTCCCTTCAGGATTCCAAGCCAGGGCTTGCCTCGTGATGCAGTTTGATGATTTGCGTAATGTATGTCCTATCCATTTCCATCGTCTTTTCCTAATTTCTTCAGCAGGAAGCCGGTTTGTTCTCTCCCACAAAAGGTTGTTGCTGATGGTATCTGCCCAATGGATGTTGAGTATCTTGCGTGGACAACCATTTGTGAATACTTGTACCTTCTTGATAGTTGTTGTAGTTCTCCAAGTTTCAGCTCCGTACAGTAGAATTGCTTTGACGTTGGTATTGAAGATCCTCACTTTGATATTGGTTGAAAGTTGTTTTGAATTCCATATGTTCTTCAATTGTAGGAATGCGGCCCTTGCTTTGCCAATCCTCGCCTTTACGTCTGCATCTGAACCTCCTTGTTCATTGACGATGCTTGCCAGGTGTGTGAAGGATTCTACGTCTTCCAGAGTTTCGCCATCAAGAGTGATTGGATTGCTGTTCTCCGTTTCGAATTTGAGGACCTCGGTTTTCCCCTTGTGTATGTTGAGGCCTACTGATGCAGAGACTGCTGCTACACTGGCTGTCTTTATCTGCATCTGTTCGTGTGTATGCGATAGGAGGGCTATGTCATCTGTGAAGTCCAAATCGTCTAATTGATTCTGAGCTGTCCATTGTATTTCGTGTTTTCCCTCAGATGTCGCGGTCTTCATAATCCAGTCGACCATCAGAAGAAAAAGGAAGGGAGAGAGTAGACAGTGTTGTCTGACTCCGGTCCTTACTTCGAATGCATCTGTCAGCTGTCCTCCATGCACGACCTTGCACTGTGGTCCATCATATGAGTTCCGGATAATATTGACAATCTTCTCAGGAACTCCATAGTGTCGAAGAAGTTTCCATAACGTCCTCCTGTCTACACTGTCAAATGCCTTTTCATAATCGATGAAGTTGATGTTCAGTGACGAGATCTACTCAACTGATTGTTCGACGATGATCCGTAGTGTTGCAATTTGGTCTGTGCACGACCAATCCTTACGGAATCCGGCTTGTTGATCTCGGAGTTGAAAGTCTACTGCGTCTTTCATCCGGTTCAGCAACACTCTGTTAAGGACTTTCCCTGGTATTGACAGTAGTGTGATTCCTCTGTAGTTTTCACATTTGCTCAGGTCTCCTTTCTTTAGAATCTTGATGAGGTGTCATTCTTTCCAGTCCATCGACACTTGTTCCTCCTCCCAAATCTTTTTGAATAGAAGGTGAAGCATGTTTGTAGTTACTTCGATGTCTAGCTTCAGTACTTCAGCTGGCACATTGTCGGGTCCTGCTGCTTTCCCGCTCTTGATTTGTCTGACGGCCGCTCTAATTTCTTCCGTCGTTGGTGGGTTGACATCTATAGGAAGATCTGTGTGTGCTGCTTCGATGTTCGGTGGATTCATAGGAGCCGGCCTATTCAGGAGTTCCTCGAAGTATTCTACCCATCTGTTACGCTGTTGTTGAATTTCAGTGATTGGCTTGCCTTCCTTGTCTTTGACCGGCCTCTCTGGTTTATTGTATTTCCCTGCTAGTTTCTTCGTTGTATCGTAAAGTTGTCTCATATTTCCTTCTCTAGCAGCTTTTTCTGCCGTCGTTGCTAATTCTTCCACGTATTTCTTCTTGTCAGCTCTAATGCTCCTCTTCACTTGCTTGTTTGCTTCTATGTATTCAGCTTGTGCTTGGACTTTCTCTGCTCGTGTTCGGCTGTTGTTTATTGCTGCCTTCTTGTTCTTCCTTTCTTTGATCTTGTCCAGTGTTTCTGTAGAGATCCATTCCTTATGATGGTATTTCTTTAGACCGAGAACCTCTTGACACGTTGAAGTTAATGCTTTTTTGATACCTTTCCAGTTGTCCTCCATACTAGTTTCTCCTTTCAGTAGATCATGTAAGGCTTGGAATCTGTTGTTGACAGCTATCTTCAATTTATTGAGTTTTTCAGTATCTCAAAGGAAGGCTGTATTGAACCTTTGTAGTGCTGTTTGTCCAGTTGTCCAGTTCTTCTTTAGCTTCAGTTTTAAATTGGCCACAACTAGATTGTGATCTGAAGCTATGTCAGCTCCTCTCCTGGTTCTCAAGTCTTCCATTGTCCTTCGGATTTTTTATTGATGCAGATATGATCTATCTGGTTCTCTGTAGTGTAGTCCGGTGAGATCCATGTAGCTTTGTGTATACAATTGTGTGGAAATATTGTGCCTCCTATGACCAATTTGTTGAATGCACACAGATTTGCAAGTCTTTCCCCATTTTCGTTTCCCTCTCCCAGTCCATGTCTTCCCATGATATCTTCATATCCGGTGTTGTCTATTCCGACTTTGGCGTTTAGATCTCCCATCAGAATGGTGAGGTCCTTTCTTGGGCACTCCTCTATGATTGGTTGCAGTCGCTCGTAGAATTGATCTTTAATGTCGTCGTTGCTATCATTGGTGGGTGCATAACATTGGATAATATTCATTGTGATCCCCTCCTTCTTTGTTTTGAATGATGCTTTGATGATTCGGGATCCGTGAGATTCCCATCCTACAAGTGCATTTCGTGCTACTTTGGACAGCATAAGAGCGACTCCCTGAGTGTGTGGAGCATTTTCCTCTTCGTGACCGGAGTATAGCAGCATCTCTCACATAGCTAGTCTTTTCTGTCCAGCTTGGGTCCAGTGGGTTTCGCTGATTCCCAGTACTGCTAAGTTGTATCTCCTCATTTCCGTTGCTATTTGACCGGTCTTCCCGGTCTCCCACATTGTTCGGACGTTCCATGTACCTATAAAAATCGTTGCTCTGGTTGTTAGAAGGGGCATCAGCCTCGTGGCTTCCGAAGGAACTCGGCTTTCTCCATGAGGCGTCATAGTTCTTCTAAATAAAGGCCTAACTCCCAGGATAGAGTTTAAATGGTTTGAATTATTTTTTCTGGTTAGCGTTTTTTTAACAAGTTTGTTTTCTACGGGATGGGGTCGCTAACCGCATCCCCAACCCTTCTCTTTTACCCGGGCTTGGGACTGGCAGTAACTCTAGAAGAGCTACAGGCGAAGTTACAGCAACCTGGACCGATGTATATATGTGCCTGGTCCATGGTTGTAGCTGACTGACACAACTGCTAACGGAATTTCAATGAATACACTTTATAACAATATGTAAGCTAAATTCGGTCGACAATGTTATCCACTGCAGTAAAATTTGGTGTTCAGTCTTTTTTTCGGAATGTTTTATTGTGTTTTGGTTCCCTCATAATAGGAAACCCAGTCAACAATACTAGTTTGATATAGGATTTATTTGTAGAACAGACGTAAGTACGTATAGTAGTCAACATATGATTGAGATATATACGAGACTCCGAATCAGACTATCCACTTCCTCCCAGAGACGAATTACAGTAAAATCAGTTTGCATATAGTGACAAATCAAGTTCTTTGCTTTAATTAATATTTTGAGTAATTTTTCTTTTGAGAACTTGTGGATAGCAATGGCTTATCAGTGTTGATATTTAATCATCCTTTTACCCAAAATTAACTTCGTTATTTATTTTCAGAATCGAGAATTGCAAATTATGCGTCAGCTGGACCATCCAAATATTGTGCAGTTAAAGTACTTCTTTCACTCTGTGGGTGACAGAGTAAGCTGTTATGTTGTTTTTAAATATATCGTTATTATTGTATTTTATTTAGGATTTAGTTTCATGCTTTTGGTTTACATCTCATTCGTTCTGTTGTGTTCTTATTGATTTTTCGTATTGGTTAAAAGCGTAACTGTTGAAATCCAGTGATCGTATTATCAGTTCTATTTTGTATGAATTTTCCCATACGCATAGCTCAATTAGTCATTACCAACGTCAAAACCAAGCACAAATGTGTATCAGTCCGAGTTGTCTCGTCTCATCAGTATATCAAGTTTAAGAATCATAGTTGATAGTGTCAGTGGTAGTAAAAGTTGATTATAGTTCAAAAACAGGGGAAATCGAGGAATGGAAAGTATAAAATAGTATAAAAATCCGAATTTTGAAGGAAGATGACAAATGAATGCATATATGTCACTGCAATCGATCGTTAACCATGTAATATGAAATTCCCAATTACTGATTGTGGTTACTGTTCGAAATCCAACCCGGTAATCCGTAGCTGATGACAGCTGAGATAAATAATCACTGGCTTCATAAATTTGTCACCGGTTTTGGTCCAACAGTACCGAGAGATATCTGATGTTGTAGTTCATTATGTGTATGAAATAATAAAGATTAAATAGTCCTTGAAGAACCAGCTAGTTAACTAGGAGTCATTAACGTGTTATGCAATTATTTCGGCATAAAACGAAGCGTTATGTTAACTTGATATTAACGCTACAGAAAAAAATGGTTATTTAGTCAGCCATATTTAATATCGGGCGTAGTACGAATGTACGTCAACTTGCGTTGCTACAATGCATCATCACGGTACGGTGAAATTCACAAGATGAATTGTAAAAGAGTCCAGATATTGGCGACATCAGTTATACTGAGAAACATTAAACATGGAAAGTAAAAGAATAATTCAAGGAATAAAAGACATGAAATAATATAAAACTTCGAGAAAATGTAGTGTAGAAACATGTGCACTAATAAGACTGATTCTAAACCAAACCACCCAAATTGAGGTACTGATTGCGGTTATCGCACGAATGTCAACTAAGTTTGCACCTCCCGACAGGTTTCAGTCTTACAATCACTGTCTTCATCGACTTATGTCACATATTAGTGTGATCCTCCTTTGGCATAGGTAACACTTTCTAATCATCTCATTCGATGGAGATTCAGTCTCATCGATCGACTTAACTGGTACCCTATGCCTAACCTCAAAATGACTCATCGTACACAGGCGATGCTTCAAAGATACTCATGATAAAATACTTGCTACCTGCATATGTCATACTTCAATATGCTATGTTTCATACTAGTAACCTACGAATAATCTTAAAGATCACGTCTCAGCTATAATATATAACAAAGCGAACTGCTACAAAATGTACTCCTATCATCATTGGAGACGAACATTTCGTCGGTGATACAAGTGACGGGAGTTGAAAAAAGTCATGCGAAATTCCTGAATCCATATAGGCATTTGATCCAACACCAACCCACAAGCCACCAAATGCTCAGGCACGGCCGAGGGTGAGGAGCGCTAGCTCTCCCTCTCAAAATGCTCTCATATGGCCACGCGTATACAACTACTTCCAGGGAAGTCCCACTCACCGCTTTCTCGCAGCGAGGGTGTTGTTTAACGAAATTAAGAGGACGGAAAGCGGATTTCGGTCGTTTTAACAGGGTTGATGGATCCACCTAGGGCAGTTGGATAACCTTGATTTCAAACCAGTGGCGTACATGGGCTCCAGGATCCTAAGGGAACAAATGGCGTATGAACCTATTGTTGGTCACCGGCTACCATGGGACTGCATCTCCTAACGTTACTCCGTTGCCTTATGGATTAAACCTGTGGGTCAAAGGCTTGGAGTGTGTCCACTTAAGATAACCACCTGCTTCGAGTTGGACACCCGGGCAGTACTCCAGCCCTCACACATCAAATGATTTGTGGGGCGCATATGTATTTGGTGCCTTCTTGTATCAGTGTTTGTGTTTAAATAAAGAAATATCCCACAAGAGCTAATGTTACCTCCAGGATAAGTATTCTCGATGCTCTCAGTCACTTCACTCCATAATCAATCTAGCCACTAACTCGGAACAGTCTTAAAACAACATGTGGTACTTAGAAGGCGAGAAACTTATCTTAAAAATGTTTGGATTGTTACTCAAGGAAAGGTTTGGTTCTTACCTGCCAAATTACGTAAGTACACATATATAGGTTGTTTACAAGTTTTCGTAGTGGGAGTCAAAACACGAAGCGCACGTAAGTTATCTGGAATCGGCTACATATTTTGGGGAGTGCAAAGGTTAGTTGAATTAGTTTCAGTTAGTCTTCCTTCTATTATAATGTGATTAATTTTCAACTGTTTTTACCAACTTCCCCCAGAAAGATGATGTCTATTTAAATTTGGTCCTTGAATTTATTCCGGAAACCGTATATCGTGTTGCCCGAAGATATGCCCGTCAAAAGGAAACAATTCCTCTTTTGTTTGTAAAGGTAATTTTTATTTTTTAGTAATTTTATTCCTGTCAACATCAATCTCGCACCTTTCATGGATTTATTCAGTTTTTTATAAAATTTCGTTACAGTAGTAAAATGTCTCCATAACCATCATAACCTGTGAATCGATTGATTTAATTGATAGTCCATTTCATATCTGCTTGTAATTTTTTAGGGGCTAATATTGTCTTAATCCACCCACTCAGCCTTTTTCTAACTCCAGTCAATCAACTCAGCGCGTCCGTAAAGGTGTACATGACATGTCCTAATAGTCTTAATTGATAAGGATTCACAGCCTCGTTATATGCTTTGTCATTTATAGATGGTGTTATTTAGTAAACTAATCTTAGCATTACCCACTCGATGGATCTGTCATACACGCAAAATTCTTCGAAAATACTTATTTCGGATACTAGTAGCCTGAAAGTATTTTGTACTACCATAATTTGTTCCGCTTGCGTAAAGCAATTCAAAACGGACTGGTTCACGTTATGCGTATCTTTGATGAGCAGTTGGACAAACATTTTTTCCCATAGATGGCCTGGGTTGACTAAGGTCATCAGAGAGTTCACTAACCATCAACCCTCTAGAGTTGAAAAGACCCTCAATAACAGTGATGTGATCAAGTTGCTCAACTTATTTAGTTGTTATATTTAAACTTGACAATAACATAAAGGAGTTTTGAAGTGGCTTTTTGCATTTGTCACGCAAGGTGCACAGAACAGTGAACTTATCAGCGTCTTTTTCAAGTAGAACTAAACTATCTAACTCCCAAATTAACTAATATCTCAGTCAAATAGATAATTATAGACTGTTATTTTCAAAGACTTCTGGAATTGACTCATCAATGTCTACTGCCTTCACTAAAATTTTAAAACTGGGTCCAGTGTCATATTTTAGGTAGTTGGTTAATAGCGGGGATCATTTGTAAACGTAACGAATCGCAAATTTTTTTAGCCTTATGTTATGGTAGCATTAAATGTTATTATCACAAATTTGTCATTTCTGCTCCTTCTTGAGTCTTATTTTTCACCCTATTTATCTCCAAGTAAATATGATAGTTGAAGAATTTTGTGGCGATATGTAATTTAAGTTCTCATAATGTATAAGTAAGCTTTTAAAATTACGAATATTTTCTTCCGTTTCCGTTAATCCTTTTTTCTCGTTTTTATCTCGATGGTTTAGCCAGTAAACTTTCATTTAAAATAATACCACTAAACAGCCTGTAGGGTCTCAACATGTTTGTTTGGGTTTAACAATACAAACATTTTTAAAGTACACAATTAATATGACAATTTATTTATTTATTTATTTATTTATTTGAACACATAAATATTGGTACAAGAGAGCGCCAATATATATGCGCCACACAAAACAATGGGAATTCGAAGAGAAGTAGAAAGGAAAAAAAAAACTAAGGAACGCAAAAGAAAAAGAGAGTAATGACGAAGAGGTACAATCAGAAGAAATCTTTCAGGTAAAGGAGACACAACCACTTTTTATGAAGAAAGTAAAAGAAGGTTACAGCAGGATCGCCACTGGCTTCTATTCTGAGCCATATCTGATAACGTCTCTAGCCACTGTGTTGCACCATCTCTCGGACCCCAGCCAGGGAGTCGTGAAGGACCAACACAAGCCAGTCCTTTGCAGCTTTCTTTCATGCCACGACACCATGTCATGCACTGACCACCTCTCCGCTTCTTCCAACCAGTCCCAGAGTCGGCAAATAATGCACGACGTGGAATTCTCTGGGACGACATTCGGAGAACATGTCCAAGCCACCGAAGTCGATGTTTCAAGATGGTGACACCAATTGAGTTATCATCTCTGTGCCCGAACACACGATGCCGAACCTCTGCATTACTGACATGGTGTTGCCACTGAATGTCAGCAATCCTTCGGAGACAGCGATGATCGAACACAGAGAGTCGTCTAACGTCCTCAACTCGGAGAGGCCAGGTTTCACAAGCATAGAGCAAAACTGCTCTCACCGACGCGTTGTAGATCCGGCCTTTTACAGCCAGACTGACATCACGAAGGCGCCAAAGGTGGCCCAGATTGGCATAAGCCGCTCTGACTTTCACTATTCGTGCATTGATCTCATCACTCACACCCCCACCAGCACTTATGCAGCTACCCAGATACACGAACTTCTCAACTACGTCTATCTGCTCACCATCCAGTGTGAGTACAGGATTGGGATCCTGCCAGTCTTGTAGAAGTACTTTGCACTTCGAAGGTGCAAAGCACATACCATACCTACGGACATTGATTGCCAACTGATTAAGTGCGGATTGCATGCCTTGGGCATTATCGCACAGTAAGACAATATCGTCCGCATACTCAAGGTCGAGAAGTCTTTCTCCAGGCAACAGATCCACACCACCATTACTTACATTCATCAGAGCTGTTTCCAGAATGTCATCGATGGCAAAGTTGAAGAGGAATGGTGAGATTGGGCAACCCTGCCTAACCCCACTGCTCGAATGGAACAATGGAGAGAGGTGGTTGTATGCCCTCACTCTGCCTGAGGTGTTTTTATACAGGGCTTTTAGGATGTTAATAAACTTCTCAGGCACACCCTTCTTCAATAGACAATCCCAGAGAACAGTCCTATCCAACGAATCGAAGGCAGCCCTGATGTCAAGAAACACTACGATTGTTGGCCTTTGAAAAGTATGGCGGTGTTCTAACATTTGGCGGAGGGTGAAGATATGATCAATACATCCTCGACCAGAACGAAACCCAGCCTGCTCCTCTTGAGTAAAACTTTCTCGGGTTTTGAACAACCTACGAAGAATGACGGAAGCCAATAGCTTGGACGCAATCGGAAGTAAACTTATCCCCCGATAGTTGTTACAAGAACGACGTGAACCCTTTTTAAAGATAGGGACAACTATCGACTCATTCCATGACGTTGGTACACTCTCTAGATCCCAAACCTTTGTAAACAACGTCGTCAATTCCTTAGTCAGAAAGTCACCACCATCTTTAAAAAGAGCCGGAGGTAAGTCATCTGGGCCAGGTGATTTGTAACGCTTCAAGAGTTGGAGTTCCTTGTGGACTTCCTCCTCATTTGGTGGATCAGTCGTCACCGGCCATGGAGGGCAGGACAGTCTGACCGATGTTACCGGAGCAGCAGGCCAGTTGAACTGCCCTTCGAAAAATTCTGCCCATCGTCCAAGACGTCGATGGATGTTTGTGATTGGCATCCCATCATCCTCGCAGATTGTTTCACTCACACCAGACTTCTTGCTGCCAGTGGCTCAGATGAGTTGGAAGAGCTTCCGGTAGTTACCAGATGCAGCTGCTGCTTCCAGCTCATTAGCACGCATCGACCACCAGGCTTCTCGGTCCTTACGCAAGCTTTGCCCGATTTCCTTACGTAAAAACCTTCGTTTATGGTCAAACTCACGGTTACCCGGAGTAGACCGACGGGCTTCAATGAGTTGTAAGGAACCAGAAGAAACCCAGTGCTTAAAAGCGGGACGTTTCGCAAACCCACAACTGACTGTACCCGCCATTTTCATGGCGTCATGCAATTGCAACCAATGCTCATCTATACTTTTCGGTGGAGTGGTAGCTAGCCTAGAGGCTAGCTCGGTTCGATACTTACCAGCAACAGAAGTTGCAACCAGCTTGCTAACATCAATCCGTTGATGGCGTTCACTTCGTTGTCCACTGAAAAGTAAGGTAAGATTGGCGCAGACCAAGGCATGGTCAGAGTCCAGATAGGTACTCCAAAAGGAGCGGCAGTCTTGTACACAACCACGCCAGCGGTAGCTGATCGCGATGTGATCAATCTGAGTCCAGGCTTGAGATGCAGAGGGAGGACGCCAGGTGGCACATCGGCGATGACTGTGCCGAAAGTTAGTGCTAGCCAGAAACAGGTTGTGGTCTGCGCAAAGTTGCAGTAGACGGTCCCCGTTATCTGACCTGCGACCAACAAGTTTCCATCGGCCACCTAAACGATTCTCTTCTGTGCCTAGACGCCCGACCTGAGCATTCAAGTCTCCGGCTAGTACTACAATATCTGTCGAACGCACTTTCTGGAGAAGAACTGATAACTGGTGGTAAAACTCATCCTTGATTGCATCCGGGCTGCAATCTGTCGGGGCATAGGCGGAGATGACGAAAAGACATCGTTTCTCACGCCGATTTCTTCTCACTTTGATGGAACTTTCTAATCTAACAGCACATAACCGACTGTTAATGGGGATCCAATCGACTAGTGCTGCCTCAGCTCTAGCGCTTAGTGCGACACCAACGCCAGCAAAACCAGACGAAGATGCCACAGGGTCCCCGGATAAGCGCACGTAAAACAAGCTTTTCGAAGCGACAGATGGAGATCGAATTTGTAGTACTTCGCCAGAGTCTTGAATACGGGTCTCGGATAGACAACACACGTCGATATTAAGACTTTCCAAAGACATAGCCAGCCCTATCTGTTGTCCGACCTGCATAAATGTGCGAACGTTGAAGGCAGCCAGTTTGAATGATGCACGTGGTTTCAGAAAATCTGCTTCAGTCCTCGTATTCGGTGGTAACATACAATTTTCAACCGGACAGTGACTCGAGAACGTTTAGATACAGTCGGAATTCCACCAAAGACGAGCCGCTGTATAAGTATAAAAGAAGGTGAATAATGTGGAAAATAATAATAATAATGATAATAATAACAATAATGACAATAATAGTAGTAATAATAATATTAGTATTAATAATGACAATAATTGAAGTGATCATAATTTGAATCAATTGATTGTTTTTCAAAGCGACAAAAGTAGTTTCCATAGACATAAACAGTCCATCATTTGTGTGTGGGCTGTGATACTGCCCGGGTGCCCAAACCGAAGCAGGTGGTTATCTTAGGGGGCCACTCCCCGAGCCTTTGACCTAAAGGTCTAACCCACAAGGCAGTGGAGCATCGTAAGGAGATGCAGTCCCATGGTAGCCGGTGACCAACGATTGGTTCATACGCCATTCGTTCCCGCAGGATACTGGAGCCCATGTGCACCATTGGTTTGGAATCCGGTTAAAGCGCCGGACATTCGCTTCTCGTCCTCTCATTTTCGTAAACAACACCCCCGCCACGAGAAGGCAATGAGTAGGACTTCCCTGGCAGAGGCTATATACGCGTGGCCGTGTGAGAGTATTTCGAGAGGGAGAGCGGACTCTCCCCACTCTCGGCCGTACCAGGGCATTCAGGGGGCAATATGACAATTTACAACGTACAGAATGACCTCATGATAACTGATGTGTACATTACTTTTACAAACAGTGCACGTTTTATAGGTGATGCAAATTCATGGATAATGGGTTTGAAATTTCCCGATCTTGAACAGTTACATTCTTAATATCTGTAACGCGGTGATTAATTAACTTGCTTCTTAATTCACATAGCGTTACAATGAACAACATCCTATCAATAGTTGATACACAGTTCATACGAATTAGTACAGTTAGAAAATTTATGTTTAATTGTTCGTTTACGTATAGTTCGTATTAAATTCTCATTTTTATTGCTATAGCAAATAATTTTACCCAGTTTTATTTGTACTTTATTTTATCTAAATTTATTCTGTTCACCTTGAAAATACCTTTGAATTACCTTTTTTATCATACCCTTCTCTACTAATCAAGGTTTTTCCACACTTTCTTATGACTACTTTTCTGGACAGGAAAAAGTACATGTACATGTACCGAGAACGTGCATGTACAGTTATTTTCCTAGGTTATGTGCATTTAAATTTGATAGCATGTAATCCTTTGATTTAATGAAAGCAAACAGTTATTATAGAAAAATTTCACGTATTTTAATAACAACTGAGATAGACAGTTGTTATATAGCACGCTCCATCATCTCAGTTGGTGTACGTTTATGATCTCATCTAACTTCCATGCTCTTGCATATATATCAACTCTTAACTAACTAATATGCTTTACTATTATTAAAGGTATTTGAAGTAACCTATTTAACGTCTTTGTTTTTATATGCTTCACTCTTTTTCTCGAATTCATCCTCTATCGGATTTAAGGAACTAACATTGATTTATCGTTTAGATTGTCCCAGTCATAAACCAATCGAATTTCTCATGGTCAAGATTACGTCAACATATATTAGGTATATATGATGCTGTGGTGATATTTTTCTGACTAAGGATTAGTTGTGAAGAGTTTTATGTTACTCTTACTCAATATAAACTCTTCGAGCAGAGAATGTTTGATAGCTTTTTCAACATTATTTACCAAGAATGTTTTGAAATAGAAATCTCCCATTTTGCTAAGGTCATCCTTTCACTTTATGTTAAACAATTAACGTTTAGTTGCAATATTTTACTAAAAATATCCTCATTTTTCTATATGATGGAGATAAATCACACCTGATAAAATAATTAACTTTCACAATTAACTTGAAGAATGACTGAACACATTTCCATTCGTCCATATTTGATTAATTATATTTTGATAATGATGATTAAATTCAGACATGTTACACAAGTTAATGTTGATTTTCTCATTGCCATATGAAAATTGTACTTCTCACTGATATCATACTAAAATATGCTTTTTATTTTTCTTCACCTTAATATTTGTGTATTCTAATATTGTAAAATGTGATTAAATAAACAAAGGGTATAGGATTCTAAACGTTATGGTACGAGTAAATACGTGAAATAAGTAGTGGAGTCTGTCACCTGTAAACAAAAACGTTGCCATACGCTACTTTTGTTTCTGAATTCTCGTAAACTTCAGTTTATGTTTTCTTTTCCAGCTATATATGTACCAACTTTTCCGAAGTTTGGCTTACATACATCATAAAGGTATTTGTCATCGGGATATAAAACCCCAAAATTTACTTTTAAATCCAGCAACAGCTGTTTTGAAATTATGTGATTTCGGAAGGTTAGTTTACTGTATATAAGATTTTATTCTCGTGTAGTAGTTTGTGTGATTTTCTGACAAATTGACTTGAGTAAAAGCTGCAATATGGCCTATGATTGTATCTAACAATTCATTGAGAAAATGTTGAATAACCAATGTGTCATGTACACTTACATGGTGTACATTCAACATTATTTGTGTTCCCTTGTATATGTTACTACGTCATCTCAAATAAGGCAGATCTCCAGTCACCTTGAAAGGGGAATAACTCATTTATGAATGATGTATCCTGTATTGTTAGACAGGAATAATAAAACATTACATAATGAAACCAAACTTGAAGTTGTGCATCGCAACTAGAAACGCTTTTTTTATCAGTGCACGTTGTTTAGTAACTGAACTTATTTTTGAATTCTGTTTCAACTGAATTATACTGGGGCGCATTAATTAAAAGATGGGATATGACATGAAGTATTTGTGTTCACCATATTCTCTGGTAAAATCAATATCCTAATTTGTTGCCTGCAGAGCATTTTCATCTCTTTCGCTGAAATTGATACAGGATATTTCATTTAAGACTTGAAAATAACTTTTTATAGAATTTATTACTCCATACTAAGGGTTTTCTACTTATTGATTTCATTACAACTGTAATTAGTTAATTATTTTATCTCTTTAGTGCGAAGGTTTTAGTTCGCGGTGAACCTAACGTTTCTTACATATGTTCCCGTTATTACCGGGCTCCTGAATTGATATTTGGTGCTGTGGATTACACATGTCAGATTGGTAAGTGCAATATTCTGTGGAAAGACTTCATTTTTAAATTTATCGGATCACCGGTTTTAAGCGGTCATTGAACAAGTGGTTGAACTACGTAGAATAGGTTCTGCTTGCCAATGACTGAGTAATACTCCATTCATAGCATTTCCTCATACTAGATATCTTCCGAATTTAGTGATGAAAACTAAACAGTATTAGAGTCAATGAAGAGACCCAGTTATTTGTAAAAAAAATACAATTTAGGGCGAAATAAACACCTTTGTAAACAAGCAGGTTAAACTACAGATAGCTCTGTTTCTAACTTTGAATGCTCAATCTACAAGCTTAGTCTTTTCTCAGCTAATTTCTATGAAGGTAGTTTGTTGAAAGAAGTAATACGTCACTTAATTTCTATCTCGTAAAAAAGGATTTAGAACAAAGATATAGCACTTCTAGCTGTTTAGCTGGTGACATTATGTCCCCAAACACTTGGTCACCTGTTCACTAAATATCGTGCACAATTTTTAGGAAGTAAATCACACGTTAGTATAACGAATTGCAAACCAGTTTAGCTAGGCTTCTTAAAGTTTGGTATTTTCAACTAAGCCTTCCGTAACATACTCCATAATCATCTGGGATTGAGCCTAACTTCAGCTGGTTTTTGTTATAATGTATATATTATCGTTTTGAAACACGGGTTTCTGTGAGTTGAACACGTATTGCACACGTCATCCTGACGGTTTCCATAATGAGAACATTTTGCTATAATTACTGTTTGCTTCAGCAATGAAAAGTTATTGACTTTGAAAAACTATGTTGACTTAGCTTTTATTGGCGCACCACAACTTTATCCTACTATTGGGATCAGTCAGTCAGTCAGCTACAACCTTGGACCAGGCACATATATACATCGGTCCAAGTTGCCATACCTCATTAGCACAGCAAGATGAACACCGGATACACAGAAGTAGTTCCTTCGATGGTGGTAATGTATAAGAGATTGTGCATAAGGATATAGTATAGGAAGAAAGGATTAGTTGATAGAAAAAAGATATGAAGCGCTTTTAATCTGATAGTTTAAAAGAAGACAGAGAGTGTATACACCGACACCACTGTGATCGATTCTGAGCCATGTCATCCACAGTCTCCAACCACTTAATACGATGGTCGCACGGATCCCAACCAAGTAGTTTGCAATTACCAACATGACTCAGACCAGACGCTAGTTTTTTCAAGTACTTTTGCCATTTTTTGGTTTGGTCGCCCCTAACTTTCTTCTAATCATCTCCAACACTAGTCAACATTGCGCGCCGTGCTAATCGGTGTTCAGGCATTCGTAACGTGTGGCCCAACCGTCTCAGTCGATGAAGACTCACAACCTTGTCAACTGATTTACTATCATTTTATTAATACCCTGCATCCAAACTCACTATTACGTACCCAGTGATCCCAGCAGGTACCAGCAATATTTCTGAGACATCTTTGATCAAATATTGGTGACTTACGAATATCCTCTACTCATAATGCCCACGTCTCGTAGCTGTAAAGTAGAACAGAACGAACTGCCGCACAGTATACTCGTCCTTTAATTAATAGACGGATATCTCGCCTTCGCCATAATTCATGTATGTTGGCAAAATTCGAACGAGCTTTTTGAGTCGGCGCTGAGATTTCGTCAGACACCATCTGATCAGACTTCCAAGATAAGTGAAGTTGTCGGTGTGTTCGACTACTTCACTCCCTATCCTTAGTTTGGGTGTTGACACAGGTCAGTCCTGAAGCAACAACTTGCATTTAGAGGGGGGATAAACGCATCCTAAAAACCTTGGCATTGTTGCTCAGTGCTACCAAAATACTCTGCATTTTATCAGCCTCTTCATCAAACAGAACTATGTCTTCTGCGTATTCTAAGTCAATAAGTAGACCTCTTGGTTGGAGATCGATGTTCGAAAATTCAGTCAACGAGAACGTTGTTTCCATTAGTATGTCCATAGTGAAATTGAACAAAAATGGAGAAAGTGGACAGCCTTGACGGACGCCACTTGAGGTTGAAAAAGCAGGTGACAGTTCACATTAGCTCTGACTCGACTTGTAGTGTTCGAGTAAAGAGCCTTCAGACGACTTATGTACTTCTGAGGTACGCCTTCCAATGACGGACACTGACACAGAATTCCTCGTTCTACGGAGTCAAATGCTACTTTTAGGTCAAGAAAGACCACCGTTATCGGGTGCCGTTAGGCATGTCTGTGTTCTAAGATCTGACGAATGTCGAATATGTGGTCGATGCAGCCAGGAGCACGTCTAAACTCAGCCTGATTTCCTCGTGTTTGCATTCACGAGTCTTTGTTAAGCGTCCGACAACAATTGAGGCTAGTATTTTAGATGTTATACTAGTTAAACTAATCCCTCTATGGTTATCATTGGATGATTTTGACCCTTTATGTATTATTTCTGTAGTTTTTTTTCTGGACTTATATTCTTAATCGTTTTTTCGATTATAACTCATTTGTTTGTGTCTGCAGATGTTTGGTCAGCTGGTTGTGTACTTGCTGAACTTTTGTTAGGTCAGCCAATTTTTCCTGGCGAAAGCGGTGTAGACCAGCTTGTTGAAATTATAAAAATCTTAGGTACTCCTTCCCGCGAACAAATTCACGAAATGAATCCTGACTATCGGGAATTTAAATTTCCACAGATTAAACCTCATCTCTGGTCAAAAGTAAGATATTCTTTGTGGATTTTGTTAAAGTTATCTTGATTTCTAATACGATTAATCAGTTTGAGATTAATGGTTTGTGTGTTCCACATATTTCTTGTCCCTTTGAATTATATATTTTATTTCTTGTCGAAGATAAAACAGAATAGACACAAAGTTGATATTGTTTTACTGCTACCTACGTTGTCTCATATTTTACTATTATGAACTGGTGATAACTGCAGCAATGATTTAAAATAGACATAACTGTCTGTTTCATGTATTATCAGAGCTGATTTATGCTATGACGTTTGGGATATTCGTTTCTCTAGATCTAATCGATAGTTTACCATCACCCCAAAATCAGGAATTTAATATGTAAAATATGCGTTTGAACGCGAAGCTAATTCTTCCAACTGTTTCAGTACAGTTACAGCGATGTATAGATTAGAAACTCTCTTATCAATAAATATAATGCGCTTGCATTTCTGTTAATTGAACGAGTTTAAAAATATTGTTCTTGTTACTGGACAGGTAAAAACACTTGACAAGTTTTTGTAACTTGCGGGTATATAACATCAGTGAAAGTTGTAGACCTTAAAGTTATGTTGTTTACCGAATGGAAGGATAGCCTTACTGCTATAGGCAATTAAAGTTTAGTCATTTCATTTTTTATGATCGTTCGTTTAATATTTATTATTATGAAAGCTTTTAAGTTCGAATATGCAGAGTTTATGATCCCATGGAAATTCTGATTGTTCAGTGAGAAAATTACAACAGAGGTTTCTAAACACCTCGACGATCAACTTAAAAAGATAATGATATGGTATATATTACTTATTGAAGGCTATCACTCCCCTTGGGACATAGATCACCGAATAGGGATCTCCAGTCAATTCTGTTCTGGGTTCTACTTTCCAGTTGTTGTCAAGATGTCTTCATGATCTTGATGTCTGACTCCAATTCCTGATGCTACGTATCTTTGGTCTGCCTCTTCTCCATTGGCCTTAAGGATTCAAATTTATTTATTATTTATTTATTTATTTGAACAAAATATCGGTACAAGTGGGCACCAAATATATGCGCCACACAAAACAATGAGGATTCGAAGAGAAAAAAAGAACAATAACGAACAGATTAGTGTAAGGTAGTGTAATATTAATAATAATAATAATAATAATAATAATAATAATAATAATAATAATAATAATAATAATAATAATGGGGGAAACGGAAAGGTACAATCAGAAGAAATCTTTCAATTAAGGAAGAAACAACCACTTTTTACGAAGAAAGTAAAAGAAGGTTACAGCAGGATCGCCACTGGCTTCTATTCTGAGCCATATCTGATAACGTCTCTAGCCACTGTGTTGCACCATCTCTCGGACTCCAGTCAGGGAGTCGTGAAGGATCAACACAAGTCAGTCTTTTGCAGCTTTCTTTCATGCCACGACACCATGTCATGCACTGACCACCTCTCCGCTTCTTCCAACCAGTCCCAGCGTCGGCAAATAATGCACGACGTGGAATTCGCTTGGACGACATCCGTGGAACATGTCCAAGCCACCGAAGTCGATGTTTGAAGATGGTGACACCAATTGAATTATCATCTCTGTGCCCGAACACACGATGCCGAACCTCTGCATTACTGACATGGTGTTGCCACTGGATGTCAGCAATCCTCCGGAGACAACGATGATCAAACACAGAGAGTCGTCTAACATCCGAACAAAGTGAATTTTTTTCAAAGATAGGGACAACTATCGGCTCATCCTATGACGTTGGCACACTCTCGAGCTCCCAGACCTTTGTAAACAACGTCGTCAGTTCCTTAGTCAGAAAGTCACCACCATCTTTAAAAAGAGCCGGAGGTAAGTCGTCTGGACCAGGTGATTTGTAGTGCTTCAAGAGTTGGAGTTTCTTGAGGACTTCCACTTCATTTGGTGGATCAGTCGTCACCAGCCATGAAGGTCAGGACTGTTCGATCGATGTTGCCGGAGCAGCAGGCCAGTTGAACTGCCCTTCGAAGAATTCTACCCATCGTCCAAGACGTCGATGGATGTTAGTGATTGGCATCCCGTCATCCTCGCAGATTGTTTCGCTTCCAGCTCATTAGCACGCTCCGACCACCAGGCTTCTCGGTCCTTACACAAGCTTTGCCCAATTTCATTACGTAACATCCTTCGTTTGTGGTCAAACTCACGGTCACTCGGAGTAGACCGACGAGCGTCGATGAGTTGTAAGGAACCAGAAGAAACCCAGTGCTTAAAAGCGGGACGTTTCGCGAACCCACAACTGACTGTACCCGCCATCTTCATGGCGTCATGCAATTGCAGCCAATGGTAGCTAGCCTAGAGACTAGCTCGGTTCGATACTTACCAGCAACAGAAGTTGCAACCAGCTCCCTAACATCAATCCGTTGGTGGTGGTTACTTCGTTGTCCACTGAAAAGTAAGGTAAGATTGGCGCAGACCAAGGCATGGTCAGAGTCCAGATAGGTACTCCAAAAGGAGCGGCAGTCTTGTACACAACCACGCCAGCGGTAGCTGATCGCGATATGATCAATCTGAGTCCAGGCTTGAGATGCAGAGAGAGGACGCCAGGTGGCACATCGGCGATGACTGTGCCGGAAGTTAGTGCTAGCCAGAAACAGGTTGTGGTCTGTGCACAGTTGCAGTAGACAGTCCCCGTTATCTGTTCTGCGACCAACAAGTTTCCACCGGCCACCTAAACGACTATCTTCTGTGCCTAGACGCCCGACCTGAGCATTCAAGTCCCCGGCTAGTACTACAATATCTGTCGAACCCACTTTCTGGAGAAGAACAGATAACTGGTGGTAAAACTCATCCTTGATTGCATCCGGGCTGCAATCTGTCGGGGCATGGGCGGAGATGAAGAAAAGACATCGTTTCTCACACCGATTTCTTCTCACTTTGATGGAACTTTCTAATCTAACAGCACATAACCGACTGTTTATGGTTCATTTATGATGTAGTTTGATGATTTGAACAATGAGTGTTCCATTGACCTCCAGTATCTTTCCTTTATTTCCTCCCCAGTTGGTAGCTGGCTTGTTTCTCTGCCACAGTAGGTTATCGCTGCTTGTTTCTGGTCAATGGACCTAGAGCATTTTGCGTAGACAGCTGTCTATGAATATTTGTATTTTTTGGTAATGTTGCCGACAGTTTTCCAAGTTTTAGCTCCGTACAATAGCACTATCTTAAAGTTAGTGTTGGAAATTGTGATTGGTTTTGTGTGACAGTTGTTTTGAGTTACGGAGATTCTCTGATTGTAAGGATGCTGCCGTTCCTTCGCTAACTCGTCCTTTGATGTATTCATCAGATTCTCTATGTTTGTCATTGGTAGTGCTTAGATGCGTAATTTCTTCCACCTCTTCGAGAGATTCATGATCAAGTGTGGTTTTGTTGGGTCTTTATGCGTTGTATTATGGGATCTTGGTTTATCCATTGGGAATACTGAGGTGTACTGCTGCGGAAACCGCGGCTGTACTTTCGGTATTCGTCCTGCATTTGTTGCCGTGTGTGCAATAGAAGAGCTAAGCCATCTTCAAATAACACAGCCGTGTCCAAGGTGTCCATTTTATCGCGTGCTTCACCTGAGATGTGCAAACCTTCATAATCCATTCAGTAACCAGAAGAAAGATGAGGGGCGAGAGTAAGCAGTCTCATCTGACACTGATCTTCTCTTGGAATGCATCTGTGATCTGCCTTCCATTACCCACTATGTAATTCAGTCTGTCGTAGAAGTTTCATTTGGTGGTGACTATCTCTCCGGCCACTCCATATGAAGATTGTTCCATTAGGTTCACCTATCCACGCTGTTAATTGCTTTTCCATAGTCAAGGAAGTTGATGTATGGTGATGAGTTCTATTCACTTGATTACTCAACGAATGATCTGCAGTGTTGGGACTTGTTGTGTACATGATTTATCCTTACGAAAGCTGACATGTTTATCTCGCAGTTGAGCGTCTGCTGAATTTTTCATTTGCTTCAACAACACTGTCAAAAACTCCGTCTGGTACTAGCGTCAATGTGATGCCTCTATAGCTCTCACACTTAATAAGGTCTTATGACTGTTGTCTTGATGTGCATCTCTCTTACCAGTATTCCGGTACTTGTTATTCCTTATGAATCTTTCTGAATAGAATAGCATTTTTTCAGTTTCCTCTATGTTTGACTTTAGTGAAGCAGCTGATTTGTTGTCAAGTCTTTCTGCTTTCCCACTCTTAATTTGTCTGATGGCCATGCTGATTTCTTCGTTTGCTGGTAGGATAAGGTCTGTGTGTGCTACTTCAATGTCCGATAGGTTCAGTAGTGCTACCCTGTTAAGGTGCTCTAAATGGTGGATGCCGCTTTTTAATAATCCATTTAATTAACCACTGTTATTATTAATGTGAAGCAATAACGTCGCATTTCGCGGTCAAAGATTCCATGTCTAATCTTTGCTTTTTCACTCTAAATATACACAATGATAAAAGTTGATTTCACTAGTGTTGAAATATGTGATAACACAATATATCCTGTATGTACAATCACTAATGAGTGGTTGTTCAGTTGAACACTATCTAAAAAGATTTTATGGGTTTTTTAGCTTGTGATTTCCTTGTTACAGGGTAGAATATCGTGTGAAGTTGTAGGCGACTAATAGATTAAGATTTATCAGCTTGATGTCTTGTAGTTATTTAGGAAAATCTCTAATCGATTAAAGCCACTAGAACAAAGAGTGAAATCTTAAGTTTAAACAAATCTGTTATTTCCTATGGGCCTGCCAATATATAAATCGTCAATTAGAAACACCGAATCAACCTCGACGCTGCGTCAAACCACTGACGCGTTAATCGGTACGAGCAATCTACAGTCAGCTCTGAGCTCTTATTGATCCTCTGAAATAGTAGCTTCTCGCCTAACTCAACTGATTCAGTCTAGAACGCGAATATCAGCCTCCGCTATATGAATCGTGTATTTCTGACATACGAAGTTTATATACATGCAAATCAGACCGCATCATACCATAAAATAGTAGATTATAAGTATACAAGATCAAGCCAAAAGTGTCTGTGAGTGTGAGAATCTGTAACTAATAATATGAGGGTAATTTAAAAATAGTAAATCATATAATAGTAGTCAATAGGTCCAATAAAAGCTTATAATAAAAGGAACGTGAATATACATATAATATAGTTACTTAATAGTTATACAATTATATATATCATAAATAGATCCTAAGAGTTACCATTCACTTATTTTTCGTTCGGACATAACAATATCGTTCCTTATTTTGTTTGTAATCTTTGCAATGCATTGATTGGTTAGTGATGTTGATGATTGTTAGTATTAGAATCGTCATTTCCAAACACACATAGTGTATGTTATATATCCACTGAATATATGCTTGTACCTTAAACCCATTTCGTTTGAACTAATGCTACTGCTCGCTTTCCAATCGGTTAATAAAAATGGATTATAAAAAGTGTAAGAAAAGTTATATATGTTTAACTATCAATATAGATGCGGTCATAAAAAGTATAGATGTATGTACAAGTGGTGGTTTATTGGCTAAAGCGTTCGGCTTGCAGCTACTAAGTCTCAGTTTCGATCGCCGTTCCACCTACTTCGATTTAAGCTCTGGGTTAGTGTCACCAACTTTACTGTGTGGCTCATAACCATATTGACGTTTATAGATAAGAAAATCGTACGGATTACCCAAATATATTTACGTTATATTTTAGCGTAATAATACATAACAATTTGTATATTTCCAATATTACCACAGGAATTGTTTCCTATTTCCCTTCCACTAAATGGTAAATTTGCTGTTGTAATAAATCTGTCTATCACAAAGTAATTTCTGTACTGTTTGTAACATAACTGAATTTCACCATAGTGGTCATGTAATAGGGTAGGTGAATATTGTCTTGTTTATCATATAGAGATTTTACTTATACATACTTGTAAGTAATCTCGAAGAAATATCTACATGAATACATTTTTCTGATAATAATTATAATAGCACTGGACGAATAATATTTGTTGATTATCACTTTCAATGAATCTTGAATTTCAGGTCGAATTTCTATACTTTTGTCATATATATGACGTCCGTCTAGAAAGCATGGGACCTAACGTTTTAAAAATACCAACTGTCGTAAAATGATCAGTCAGTTATTGCTTAATTAGGTGAATAACAGTATTTCAAACTCGTTAGAAATATAGTGGAGTTGACTAGTTTTCAACGAAGCTTTTTTACTACCAGCAAACAAAATAGTAGGGTGAGATATTTTGTCATGAATTTTATGGATTGTGCTTGTTATAATATATATCTTTTAACGAAAATTTTTGATAAACATCGTTTATGCAGATACATTCAATATAATGCACGATTAATTAGGTGTAATTTGGTTCATAATATTGTCAACATTTTTGTTTCAATTTCGCACATTCACTCCTTTTTTAAACTTTTCCTTAGGTTTTTCGTCCTCGCGTTCCATCGGAAGCAATTCAGTTGGTGTCACAGTTACTTGACTACACACCCTCAAAACGTTTAGAACCGTTAGATGCTTGTTTACATTGCTTTTTCGATGAGTTAAGACAAGAAGGAACTAGACTTCCCAATGAAAGACCTCTACCTCCATTATTTAATTTGACACCCTACGGTGAGTATCTGAATTTCACTATTATTATTAGCATCATTATGTTGATTAATTGTGTAATACTGCAATATATTTGTCTGTTCTTTACGGATAAAAAATTGCTTCTCTACTGTCAGGCTATATTGAAGCATCGACAACATGTTTGATGTAAGTTAAAACACTGAAATTTTGAACTGTTTTACATCATATAAACATTATGCTTAGTTTAAATCAAGTCATTATTGTGTGTATCTATACTGTTGACTATCAAATGGTGTTGCTATCCTGATATCTGAATGTTCTCTTCATCTATTCTATTTTTAGCCTAATTCTTACGCTATAATAAAGTGTGTATAAAAATGTTAATTTGTATACCGATTTTGTTTGATTACTTATTTCTGTTCTATTTTCTCTCTCTCTCTCTCTCGTTTTCTCTTTCGATAATTGTAAGCTGTATTTTCAATATCAATAAAGTTTTACACTTTTCCAGGTACGAATTTAATGTTCGCATAAAATTGATTTTTATTAATTTCGTACTTATTGTTCTGTATAGTAGTGTATAACTCAACAAAATTACTTATTATCTATATTTTAAACAAACTCCGACTGTAACTCTCCCAGGGTTACTGCCGGTCCGAACCTCGGGTAAAGGAGGAGAGTTAGGCATGGGGTCAGCAACCCCATCCCGTAGAAAACAACCTTGCTATGAAACACTAACCAAAATCAACATATTAAACCATCTAGACTCTGCCATATCCGTAGGTTAATAGTATTTGATCATAGGTGCCTTCGAAATATTGCTCGTATATCCTGGGACCATCGAGTAAGTAACGCAGTTGTTAGGAAACGGGTACTAGTTAAGGATGGCAAATCAATTGGTGACGTAGTGAAAATTCATCAGTTGAGATGGCTGGGACACGTGTTACGTATGCCCAACGACCAACTGCCTCGACGTGCGATGTTCAGTGGTATAGGAGTAGGTTGTAAGAAAGCTAGGGGCGGCCAGACCAAAACATGGCACAAGTCCATGAAGTCACTGACAAGTGGACTGAGTCATGTTGGTAGGTGTAGACTACCTGGTTGGGGACAGCGAGATGATAGCAACCGATGGTTAGAGACCCTGAATGACATGGCTCAAAATAGTTTGCAGTGGCGCAGGTGCATCCACTTTTTGTGTTCTCCCAAATTCTAATCTTCTGACTTCTTCATATCCCTTTCTTTTTTCTCTTTCCAAATTTATTTCACTGGATTATACTCCTTGAATAACTTATTCAAACCCTAACCTTTCTGATTACAGCTTATAATTTTACTACATCTAGCACTACGGGATTTGAATCGACCACTGCATCTCTGTGCTAATGTGGTGTGGCAACTCGAACTGATGTACGAACGTACGAAGTTCTACGTTGTCACTGACTGACTAGACTCTGCCCTCCGAATTGAAAGAAGAATTATGACGCCTCATGATGAAAGTCGAGATTCTTTGAAAGTCATGAGGCTGATGCCCTTTCTAACAACCAGAGCGACAATTTTTATAAGTAAATGAAACGTCAGGATAATGTGCGAGACCGGGAGAACCGGTCAAATAGCAAAGGAAATGACGGGATATAGCTTGGTGGTGCTCGGAATCATTAAAACCCATTGGATTCAAGCTGGACAACAAATGCTAGATTTGGGAGAGATGCTGCTATACTCAGGTCACGAACAGGAAAATGGCTTATATACAAGAAGTTGCACTGATGCTGTCCATTGAAGCACTGAAGTCGGACATAGAAGTAACTACGAATATTCTCCACATTGTAATCAGGATTTGGGAGGAAGAAGTGCCACAGGCAGACTGAAAATAAGGATATCTCATCAGAATACCAACGAAAGGAGATCTGAGCAAATATGAGCACTACAGAGACACACTACTATCGGTACCAGGAAAGGTTTTCAACACGGTGTAGCTGAACCGGATGAAAGATTCAGTAAACACTCAACTTCGAGATCAACAGCCTGGATTCCGTAATATGATCGGTCATGTACAGACCAAATCTCCCTTTTCTCTTCCGGTGGTTGACTTGATTATGAAATCCTCCACATCTGACGGGAAGCACGGAATACAACGGACAGGTTGGGTGCAACTAGACGATCTGGACTTCGCAAATGACTTAGCTGTTCCATCCCATACACACGAGCAAATGCAGATCAAGACAACGAATGTGGCATCAACCTCTGCAACAATAGGCCTCAACATACACAAGGGAAAAAGTAAAATCTTCAAATACAACCTGGAGAACATCAACCTAATCACATTTGACGGAGAAGCTCGGGAAGAGGTGAAAACTTTCACGTATCTGGGTAGTATCATCGATGAATAAGGTGGATCTGATGCAGACGTAAAGGCAAGGATTAGCAGAGCAAGTACAGCATTCTTACACTTCAAGAATATATAGAACTCAAAACAACTGTTAACCAACATCAAAGTTTTAATCTTCAATACGAACGTCAAAACGGTTCTACTATACGGATCTGGAGCTTGGAGAGCTACTACAGCCATCATCAAAAAAGTACAAGAATTTATTAACAGTTGTCTACACAAAGTACTGAATGTCTGTTGACTGGGTACCATCAGCAACAACCTACTGTGGGAATAAACAAACCAGTTTCCATGTGAAGAGGAAATTACGAAAAGACGCTGGAAGTATGTAGGACATACATTACAGAAACCATCAAACTGCATCAGTAGGCAAGCCTTAACTTAGAATCCTGAAGGGAAACGGAAAAGAGGAAGACCAAAGGACACATTGTGTTGGGAATTGGAAATGGTTATCGAAATAATGATTAGCAACTGCAAAGGATTGCCCAGGACAGAATTGTATGGAGAATGCTTTTTGGCGGCCTACGATTCTCCATGAGGGGTAAGAGGCGTAGGTAAGTATGTCAGTATAATTCAAACAAGAAAAATACATGTGAAATTGAGTGGTAAAATTATTATTTAAATTTAGCATCACTCGTTCATAATTTACAACATATCTCTGTGATAGTTATTCCAATTATCAGTATTGCGTACTTTTTTTAGGAACTATCGATCTCAAATAAAATAATACTAATCTGATGAATTTTTCAGCCGATTGTAATAATCAATATTACTTGAAATTGTTAGAATGCCCTCTTGATTGAAATAATCCTTTTCCTATACTATGATTTTTTAAATATTTCCTCCAAATTCCCTGGTATGACAGAGGGTCAGGAGAGCTAGCTCTCCTTCTCGAAATGCTTCCACAGCCACTCACGCAGCAGTCCTACTCACTGCATTATCGCAGTGGGTTTATTGTTCATGAAATTGAGAGGATGAAAAGCGAATATTCGGTGCTTTAACAGGGTTGGTGGACATGGGGGGTCCACCTATGGTATTTGGAAAACCTAGATTCCAAACCAATGATGAACATGGGCTCCATGATCCTAAGGGAATGAATGGTTTATGAACCTATTATTGGTCACCAGCTACTATGGGACTGCATCTCCTGACGTTGTTCGACTGCCTTGTGCATTAGACCTTTCGGTCGAAGACTCCGGGTGTAACCGCCTTAGGAGACCACCTTTTCTGTCTGGGCACCCGAGCAGTATCACAGTCCACACAAAAATCAAGTGACTTGTGTGGCGCATATGTGTTCAGTGCTCCTTTGTACCAATATTTATGTGTTCAAATAATAGTAATCTGTTGATTTCGTTTTTATACTTTTAGAAATGACTATGCGAGATGATATGTACAAATTTCTCCCACCTTCTCGAACATCCGGAGGAGCTGGGGGATCAGAGTCAAGTTTACCACCTACTTCGGATCTTTCAATGGTAGAACAACCACAACCGCATCATATAACAGATGCTGTTGATCGCACGGGACAAAATCACAATCCCTCTACATCAGAAGGGAGTAAATTATCGGATTCAGAAATTCGATTAGCAGTTGTAGCTCCATCTCGTAGTTCGGATAATATACAACTCATATCAAATAACAGTAACAACAATGATAATAACAACAATATTGATATACCTCATCAATTGAAAGATTCCTGCCATGAAGAGTTAGAATCTAGGAATATTCAAGGTGTCAATAGTTAAAGATAATGATCACATTGTGTCTATCTATAAAATTTATTCACTATATTTGTCCTCATGTGGCATTTGTTAAATTTCGAAATTCAATATCACGAAACAAGGATGAAAAACCATTCGACTCAGGTTTCTCGTCCAGTTTATTCCTCCTGAGACAAGTACTAATTATATACATGTACAAATATTTACCAATATAATCAGTAATATTTCTTAAGATTAATGAAGCTCCTTCCTGTAGATGACAATCAAAATAACACAGAATTATAGTGACAAAGTAATTTGTTTTATTCCTATTTTAGGATTTCACTTATTTTCCATTTCTGTACAAACATACTCTCACATTCACAATTTAATGATCATTTCTCATGTAATTTCAATCATATCCACTCTCTTTCAATCACTTTAATTAACAACATCTACATATTTTGTGTTTTTTTGTTCATTCATGTATGCTACATTTAATGTTGTAGTTTGTTTATTTTCAACATTGGCACTTTGTTTTTTTTTATCATTTTTTTCTGACTACCTTACTTTGTTTGTTTTTCCTGCCTAACTGTGACATTGCTATTTGAAAAGTAAATGAGTAGTCGTTTACACGAAATATCCTTTGGTTACAACTCTTTATATTGTCTTCTAACTATTTCTGTTTTTTAAGTGATCATCAAGGAAAGTATTTGTTTATTAAGTGGTACAGTGTAACATTTAAAAATTTGTTTTCTAAATGTATGTCAACTGTAATGTTTCTTTATTTTTTTTCGTAGTGTTTTCTTAACATTCTCTTAAATTACAATGATCTTCATTGTGACTACAGTTGTTTATCATTCCTGTTATTAATACTGCATGCGGCGCCCGATAAACATTATATATATATATATATATATATATATATATATATATATATATATATATATATATATATATATCGGTTACAAAACAGACATCTTTCTTTCACATATTACGGCATTTTTTCTCGTCACTGCTCTCCTGTTGGTTCGTCTTTCATATCATATCATATATAAATACATATATATGCCATTATAGATTATAATTATAGACAAGTATATCAATTTACGATCATGATGTTTAATAGAATCCTTGAACATTTTTCTTTCCGTATACACCACTTTGTCTTTTTTTGCAATGACTTTAATGAATATTTCTGTCCATTAGAAACTTAATCAGTAGATAGGCAGGCTGCAAAAATATGTGGACTAGTCACATCACAAACAATATTTTATGTAATGATTTGTATTTGAGGGGAATAATTTCAATGATTAAAGGAACCACTGAGTTACAAATTGACATGTTATGATTTCACATTCACTGATCTCTATTTCTATATAATACGCACCTTAATTAGTTATATGGGAGAAAAACGCGTTTACTTTGTGTGTTTATCTACATATACTTTCGTACCTACGTGTTATTCTGTCATATTTCTATGAACAGTTTTTAATTTTCCGTGCGTATCTAATGTAATATATTGATCAATATAATATACATATGTAGTACAACTTGTGTTCTTTTCTATCATTCATATGTAATCATCTTTTATTTAATTCACCAAGGTATAACTATTAATCCTAGTTCTGTCCAAAATTTAGGCTGTTATAAATTACATTACAATATCAATCCCCTCCCATATCTGTGTAATTGAATAATTACACAAACCATATATTATATTTTGTATCATTATGATAACTGTCACTCAGTTTATTCAAGAAAAGCAAAAATGAAGGAGATTAAATAAAGAATTTGTAAACTTTGTCAACTTTGTGCTTTTTCTGTGCTACATTTCTATTTCTTCTTTCATACATAATAAATAGTAAGTGGTGGTCTAGCTGCATAGTCTTTTTAATTCTAAAAAATCAAACAGTTTAGTGTCTGTTCAGAATTTTTAACCGTTTATTAATATAATGAATACTTATACGTGAATATCGTGTAGGACGATGTAAAATAATCAGTCTTATATACTCGAGTATAAGTTGAGACCGCCATTTTGTAATTGAATTTATAAAAGTAAATAGTTATTGTCAAACACCATAAAGTATATTTACTTAGCTCTTGGTGAATTCATGAATTAGTACAAAGTTATATCCACTCCTGGTTTTTTTTCAAGTTACCATTATTATTATTGCAAGTAACAACCACTTTATGGTTCGTTTATACAGATAACATGTAAGACGCCTGACATATTATGTACACGAACATAGTAACTAAGTTTTTGTAAGCGGAATACTGTTATTATTTGCAAACTTTCGACTGGTTGGAGGAAATCTATGCCTTGTAGCAGCTCTTCTGAACTTCTATATATTTATGATCATCATTACTCCTAATACTACTCCGTTCAAAGTCAATTTACTGAAGGTCGACCCTAAAAATGCACACCTCGCCTTATCCCACGGATATCCGTCTCCGACGATAAGGTCTCAACAAGTACGGAGCTAACACAAAAACTACTCATAAAAAGGTCGTGTGTGACCGACCTCAAGCATCTGTCCCTTGGGCACTGCGGTCACGCTCTCAGATCACTATGACCACCTCTAATCCAATTTCCTTTTCAGGTACCTCCAGAAGAACCCTTCCACGGTGTGGGCAACTGGGAAGTGATAACCGCCTTCATAACTCTAACAGCACTCATAACTGACTGACTGGAGGTCTCATTTTTGTCCTTTAAAAACTACAATTCTGTCTTCATTTGAATAAACCAACTAATTGGCAGTTAGTTTACCGCATGACTAGGTACACCAAATATCACTTCGCTATGACATGGTGTATTGGTGTCTGTTACTCTACTAATAACTGGCAATTTTTCAGGTTGGCATTTCTCTTGTCATACTGCTTTTTACATATCTTACGTCTTATCACTGGTTTACTCAAAAAGCTATTTTTCCAATTAGTTCATAAGTAGCCCTCAATATTTCATGAATTTTCTGAGAGTTTCTCAAGCTTCGTCGTAAACTTTAGTTCTGAAGTTTTCACACAAAAATTATTATATCAAGTAGTACATAGGATTATTTCAAGGAGATGCTCATTCCCAAATTTGTGTGCAAATTATCTGTCTTACATGGTATATTCAGCTTTAATTAGTCGGAAAGATATTTTTGCATGTTGTCTCTTGCTGACTAGAAAGCTAGGTTTTGGTATGAAGAGTAAATTATTATTACAATAGTTTCTGTTGGTACACTGATCTGTTATTTACAATTGATTGATTACTGAGTAGGGACAAGTGTCATGTATGTCAAGTCTTTTTCAGTTCTGAATCGATCTAGTTGTAATATGGCCATTAGTCTTACTGACTCGATATCGTGTGCACTATGCTGAGGTGTAAGTTGGTGCTTGGAGGTGGTCAACAAGAAACGAGCTGAGTTTTGTCCCCTTTGACTTTCTCCAGCAAGATGTACCTGTAACCTAATTGGAACTGATACTCCCTAATAGATTCGATCCTGTGTCACAGCTTCGTAATCAGAGAATATCCAGCTCAATGAACGTTGTAGTGTTGGTCGCTATTTCAAGCCCATATAGTTTCCGGACAGGCCAATTTATTCATTCTTCTTGAGTCACATTTTGATCTTGTTAATTATTCGCTTATTAACCTTGACTTTTTATGTAAGCGTATGTGTATGCATTTCTTATCTTACACGTCACATGTCTGTAACTTATTTTTGTTCGGCTATAAATATCGATTCACACTTGGTTAAATCGAGTTGGCTTACATGCCTTCACCGCGCGTCGTTTCACTTCACTCTCTCCTCTTCGTTTATCTGGATCAACCATTGTATGCAATATACGTATTGGAAATTCATCCTTGTATTTGACTTATTTAATTCTGTTATTCGCCAACGTATATTAAGTCGGTAATTATATGCGAGGATTGGCGGCATGTATATTTCAATAAAAATCAATCATACAATCATTTATATCATCCAAATGGAGTCAGATCTCGGGCCACAAAAACGCAATACCGCCAAAGAATTGGATGGTGGCACTTACTGTAACATATACGGAAGTTCATATTTGTCATATCAGTTTCACTATATATATTGTGCTTTTCATATTACCTCATGGTTGCTAGTTTAATATTTCTTGCTTCACATTTGTATCTAAATTCAGTATTCCCACTTGACAAACTACCAAGTTACTGAATTAATCCGAGTCACCCACGTTTCCATCATATCTTTGTATTGGTTGAAGAATTTGTAAACAGCCATACATTTATTAATGACATTTGTGTTCATAAACAAGACATCACATACCGATATTTTTTCAGCCCAATGATCATCGGTAGTGATCTGAGCTTATGTATAATTAGTCAATAAATTTTCCTCAAAAAAGATTTGTGTACATAGCTTTGAAAGGTTTCGTGAACAAGTATTTTCATATAAAATTCGATAGCTTTACTGTTCACTTCATATGTGTGTAATAGTGAACATCTGGTTTTGGATTACTAGCTGTAAGGCCTTATCAAATGCTTGTCGTAAAGACGTAACCAACCAATCCAGGTTAATATACACTGTGATTCTTTATGAAATTTATGCAATTACTGGATTAATCCATAATAAATATTCGGCTTAATAATTAAACTTATCTACATATTTTCTGTTGTACCCACTCATTGCTTCGGGAATTCTGGAAGCATTAATAATATGCAAAATGAAAACTAGATTTGTGTATACGAAAATAGTTTGCTATATTCCTTTTTTTGCTACACCCACTAGTTTTTTTTTATATATTCACGTTGTTTTGTAAGTTTTATGTTTTCACCTTCAAGTTACAGGCAACCTTATCATTACAGTTGAATAAATTCCAATAAAATTTACTGATTTCATTCATCTTATCATCATTATAACTTGATATCACCTGAAACCATTTCTCTTTCACAATGATTTTCATGTATCTATGTGAAAAATTACATCGAAACCTTTAATCTTGT